GGGCCCTCTAACAGGGTGATCAGATGACCTGGAAGTACCAGCAGGTCAGTGGGGCCCTCTAGCAGATTAATACATTTTAAATAAATTAAAATAATTGAAATAGAATGTGGAAATACATATATGATTCCTCCCTCTTAGATTGTAAGCTTCCAGGATCAGACCCTCCTATCCCTCATGTATTGAACTGTATTGTCTCCCTTTTGTATTGTAAAGCGCTGAGCAAACTGTTGCCGCCATATAAATCCTGTATAATAATAATATGATTTTACGTTTTAAACCATTGATACATTTTAATAATTGAATAATATAAATTTAAGTAAAATTTAATAAATTAACATACATTTTAAATAAATTCAAATAAATAAAATAATTGAAATAAAATGGACATAAATTATACGATTGTAACCATAGATGCACTTGGAATGATGTGAATAAATGTCTTTGTTGCCTCCTAGAAATTTATGACTCAGAGGATCACCACCCCGGACGACACGAATCCTTGGTGGAAAGCGTTCAGTGACCCCTGCAAGGAGCTGTAAGTAGAAGAGATCATCTGGGCTTCATTTGGTTGGACATGTACATGAACCCCGTGTCTGCCAGCGCCGTGTATATACGTCCGCTGGTCGCAAGGACTTTAAAAGGCAGGACTGAGTCCATAACGAAAAATCGACTTTCTAAGCCGCCCAATCACTTCATACACTATGGGAGTTACCACCCCTTCCACCCAACTACCTCCACCATGTATCCTCCACTCTGCTGTCCCTTCTGTGACATTATAAAACATTTGCACCTCTGCATTCAGGAAATCTGTCACGTTTGATCTGTAATGAGATGTATAGCTCTATAAGGTTTGCTTATTTACTTTGATTTCAGGGTTTGAAGCTAAAGCCGGAGATTTTTCCTGCTGCCACAGACAGTCGTTACGTCAGGACGGTGAGTACAGATGCACCTTCTCCTTCGTATCCTCTTGAAGGCCAACTTACATTCGTTGTCTCTTCACTGGTGTATTGCAAAGCTGCCTTATATAATGCCTGAGAGAACCCTTGCTGTACCAGTCCTTGAGATGCTCTTCCAGCATCTAGCTCATTCTACTGCAAAGAATAACAGCGCCTGGGAGGCAGCTTGTACCTCATGCCACCTTGGGTTCCCAGTGGTGTCCTTGTTTGTGCTTTCTATACTAGAGCCAGTTAACCTGCAACCCTTAAAAAGCACGCCCCCAAAATGCAGCAAAGATTGTTGGTGTTTCCTCCACTGGGAGGAGCAAAATTTGGAAGTTATTTTACTTCCAAAATTTTCTGAAAATAATGGAAATCTTTTAAAGTTAAAAAAAAATATTTATTTGTATTCTAGGAGGAGAACACCCAGATTTTTCTCCACCATTGACCCCCTTGAGCTGTTCTCCTCCTAGAATGTATGAATAATAAGTCTGTGAACTACGAGAACACTCAGATCCTTCTCCACCATTGACCACCCCCCCCCCCCTTGAGCTGTTGTCCTCCTAGAATGTATGATTATTAAGTCCATGATCTACAAGAACACTCAGATCCTTCTTCACCATTGACTCCCCCTAAGCTGTTCTCCTAGAATGTGTGACTGATAAGTCTGTGAACTACGAGAACACTCAGATCCTTCTCCACCATTGACTCCCCCAGTTGCTCCCCTCTTGGAATGTATGATTGATAAGTCCATGATCTACATAAACGCCAAGATCCTTCTCTGCTATTGACTCCCCCAGGATTTGGCCTCCTAATATGTATGATCAATAAGTCTGATTTACCAGAACACCCACTTCCTTCTCCACCATTGACCTCCTTGAGTTGTTCTCCTCCTAGAATATATGTATACAAAGTGCATGAACTATGAGAACACTCAGATCCTACTCCACCATTGACCCCCTTGAGCTGTTCTCATAGTTCATGGACTTAGTATTCATACATTCTAGAAGGAGAACACCCAGATCCTTCTCCACCATTGACCCCCTTGAGCTGTTCTCCTCCTAGAATATATGAATACTAAGTCTGTGAACTACGAGAACACTCAGATCCTTCTCCACCATTGACCTCTTTGAGCTGTTCTCCTCCTAGAATATGTGAATACTAAGTCCGTGAACTACAAGAACACTCAGATCCTTCTCCACCATTGACCCCCTTGAGCTGTTCTCCTCCTAGAATATATGAATACTAAGTCTGTGAACTACGAGAACACTCAGATCCTATTCCACCATTGACCTCCTTGAGCTGTTCTCCTCCCACAATATATGAATACTAAGTCCGAAAAGTACAAGAACACTCAGATCCTTCTCCACCATTGACCCCCTTGAGCTGTTCTCCTCCTAGAATATATGAATACTAAGTCTGTGAACTACGAGAACACTCAGATCCTATTCCACCATTGACCTCCTTGAGCTGTAGATCATGGACTTATTAATCATACATTCTAAGAGGAGAACAGCTCAAGGGGGTCAATGGTGGAGAAGGATCTGGGTGTTCTCGTAGTTCATGGACTTTATTAATCATACATTCTAGGAGGAGATTCTTCTCCACCATTTAATTCCCAAGTTGCTTTCCTCTTGGAATGTATGATTTATAAGTCCATGATCTACAAGAACACTCAGATCCTTCTCCACCATTGACTCCCCCAGTTGCTCTCCTCTTGGAATGTATGATTGATAAGTCCATGATCTATGTAAACGCCAAGATCCTTTTCTGCTGTTGACTCCTCCAAGGTGTTAGCCTCCTAAAATGTATGTTCAATAAGTTTATGGTCTACCAGAACACCCAGATCCTTTTCCACCACTGACTCCCCAAGCTGTTCTCCTCCTAGAATGGATGAATAATAAGTCTATGAACTACGAGAACACCCAGATTCTTCTCCACCATTGACTCCCTTGAGCTGTTCTCCAAGAATGTATGATGAAAAAGTCCATGAACTACGAGAACACCCAGATCCTTTTCCATTGACTTCCCAAGCTGTTCTCCTCCTAGATTGTATGATCAAGAAGTCCATGATCTATTATAATACTCAGATCCTTCTCCACCATTGACTCCCCCAGTTTTCCTCCTCTTGAAATGTATGATTATTAAGTTCATGAACTACAAGCAAACCCAGATCCTTCTCTACTATTGACTCCCCCAGGTGTTAGCCTCCTAAAATGTACGATTAATAAGTCTACGATCTACCAGAACACCCATATCCTTCTCCAATATGGACTCCCTAAGCTGTTCTCCTCCTAGAATGTATAATTGATAAGTCTATGATCTACCAGAACATCCAGGTCCTCCTCCACCATTGACTCACCTGGTTCTTCTCCTAGAATGGATGATTAAGATGTCTATGATTTACCAGAACACTTAGATCCTTCTCTACCATTGACTCCCCCAGTTCTACTTCCCGTAGAACGTATGACGCATGCTTGTTTTGCAGAATTTACATTTATCATCATTAAGCCTTGTTTTATCCATCCTGTCCAGGTGTCAAAAACGTCCCGTCATTGCCTTGGGACATGACAATGGACATGAAGGAACAGAGGAGCCCTAACCTAGTCTATTAATAAAGCCATGGTATACTTATCAAGAGTACGGTCCTGGATCTGTTAACTCCACCTACAGTATGCATTTTGCCCACCTACTTTCTTGGTGTTCTCACCCACCCACTTTATGGCTTGATCCTGGCCAGACCTCTATATATGCGAGGACTGCCCACTTGTGGCCCAAATCCCCACAATTAATGCCTTTTTTGAGTTGCATGCAATACCTCAAAAAAGGTTGGCGTTGTGATTCCAGGACATAGCCCAGGACACAGCGTCAGAGGGCAAAAGTGCAGGACTGTCCAGGCAATTCCGGGACACTTGTTATCTACACCATGTGACTTTTTTTTTTACAAATTTTTCTTAAGCATTATGAAATTTGAGGTAAATTTTAAGGAAGGCTGTACTTTGGCTGTTAAATCAGTTGTCCACCCTTGTCCCTCAACTCCTTGGGGGGGAAGCCAGTTTGCCTATTAATACCATAGATTACAATTCTCCATCCAGCTTTAAGTACACTTCTAGGGGGGCTTCTAGTTGTCCAAAAATGTATTCTATACAGAGTGTTCAAATTTATTTTATGGTTTTCTTCTTCTTTTTTTATTTTTATATCTTCTCCAAGATGGCGGCCTCCATAATGTAGGCAGTAGTAAAACTTTTTCTGCCCTCTTTTGTTCTCCCCAGGCCGGTTACGATGCCCTTGGCTTCTCCCCCATGAATAACACCCCCATCTTGCTGCACGATCACAACGAATTCTTGAACGAGGGCGTCTTCCTGCGTGGGATTGAGATTTATAAACGTATCATCCCGTCTTTAGCCAACGTTCCCCCACTGGATGGAGAACACTAGAGGCCGAGGGGGTCTACTGTGAATGTGCAGAGACTGGCGACCATGTCTTTAATAAAATGGCCGCACTCAGGGACTCATCGCCAACCCCAAGGACAAGGGGTGACAATTCAGCTTAACCAAATCTAAACTCAGGGCAATAAAATACCTCCAGCTGCTCTTATCATCGTTCTTTGGATGTCTCCACTCCGAATGTCCTCTTTGTCTCGAAAAGGACCATCAAACATAGTACAGTTGGGTTCATGTAAAACACTTACATTTTGATTCGTGGATCTCATTATTAAAAGTTCAATGACAAGAACTGAAAGTCTTAAAAATGATTTGCATGATTCTTACATTGCTGGTACAAGTCTTGCAGCTCTGGGGTTCTGGATTGGATCCTCAGTATGAAGACTAGCTCCATTATAGGTGGTGGACATCAAAGTATAACTCCAGCCAAAACCCTTTTTTTTTTCTTTTTTTCCAAGTTTGGAATGTGGTGGGAAAGTGTTAGAACCTCCACCAGGGATTTACTGCCATCTGTTTCCTCATTAGGGATTTATTATACTTCCTGTTACTAGAGACACAACAGGAAGTAAGTGGAAATCTCCCCCAAATGAAGGGAACCCCCACCCTTGGCAAGAGATACCTCCATGATTGTTCTGATGATGGCTGTAAAATGTGGGCTACCCCCTCGCCAACAATAATCGCAAGGAAAACGAGAGAGGATGAATCTTTCAAGTGGGGACACAGACCGCAATAGAACGTAACCGATGTTCAAGCCCTTCCAGCCAGGAGATGAGGCAGAGTTCTATCTGTCTGGCTGCAGCTTCTAATGCACATTGTGAGGAGCTCCCAGTGTGCAGTGACATCAGAGGAAACCATTCCAGTCCAGGGGAGGAGCCCATACACCTGGGCAAGACTGGAGGGGAGGAGCCAGTACACCTATGCAAGACTGGAGGGGAGGAGCCGGTACACCTGTGCAAGACTGAAGGGGAGGAGCCGGTACACCTGTGCAAGACTGAAGGGGAGGAGCCGGTACACACCTGGGCAAGACTGGAGGGGAGGAGCCGGTACACCTGGGCAAGACTGGAGGGGAGGAGCCAGTACGCCTATGCAAGACTGGAGGGGAGGAGCCGGTACACCTGTGCAAGACTGAAGGGGAGGAGCCGGTACACCTGTGCAAGACTGAAGGGGAGGAGCCGGTACACCTGTGCAAGACTGAAGGGGAGGAGCCGGTACACCTGTGCAAGACTGAAGGGGAGGAGCCGGTACACCTGTGCAAGACTGAAGGGGAGGAGCCGGTACACCTGTGCAAGACTGAAGGGGAGGAGCCGGTACACCTGTGCAAGACTGAAGGGGAGGAGCCGGTACACCTGTGCAAGACTGAAGGGGAGGAGCCGGTACACCTGTGCAAGACTGAAGGGGAGGAGCCGGTACACCTGTGCAAGACTGAAGGGGGAGGGAGCCGGTACACCTGTGCAAGACTGAAGGGGAGGAGCCGGTACACCTGTGCAAGACTGAAGGGGAGGAGCCGGTACACCTGTGCAAGACTGAAGGGGGAGGCAAGACCGGTACACCTGTGCAAGACTGAAGGGGAGGAGCCGGTACACCTCTGCAAGACTGAAGGGGAGGAGCCGGTACACCTCTGCAAGACTGAAGGGGAGGAGCCGGTACACCTGTGCAAGACTGAAGGGGAGGAGCCGGGACAACTGGGGCTGCAAGAGACCAGGACGTTTTCTAGTACTAACACCACTTGCATCTAAATTAATAAATGATTATTATTGGAGACAAAACTGCGGTGATTTTGTGTCATTTTTATATCTTCCAGGAGTTCAGCTTCATATGCACCTGGAAAATACACGAGCTTCAGGGAACATTTGCAGTTTTAAACAGCAACATTGTCCCTTTTCCCCTTTCTCATGTCATTTCAAAGGGGTCTATTTATGAACACAAATGCTGTACGAATAAAACATGAAAAATCCCTGTATTTCCTCCAATATGATGATTTCTGATGACTGTCAGCGCCATCTACTGACCATAGTGCGGTATTTTTCTTGAAATAAATCAATTGGGAAAATACCTCATTATGGCCACTAGATGGCAACTATGATGAAAGGAAATAATCATATTAGACAAAATACAGTTATTTTTTTTTTAGGCTGTTGGAATGTTTTTCGTTTTTTTTGTACAGGATTTTTTTTTTTTTTTAAGTATATTGCCACCATGCTGACCCGACACAGAATTCTACTGCAGAATAATTGAGGAAGATATGGGGAGTTGGAGCCACCCAAAACTCATCATTTATAGGCGGTTGGTGGGCAAAATCACTACCATAGCATTTTATATTTCTAGGCATCTACAAAAGGAAACAGTCTCGTTCTTGTAACTCATGGATGTCAAACTGGCGGCCCTCCAGCTGTTGCCCAACTACAAGTCCCATGAGCCATTGCAAGATTGACCATTACAAGCATGACTCCCAAAGGCAGAGGTATGATGGGAGTTGTAGTTTGGCAAAAGCTGGAGGGCCGCCAGTTTGACACCCCTGCTTCAGAACTACAAGTCCCATGAGAAATTGCACGGCTGACAGTTACAAGCGTGACTCCCAAAGGCAGAGGCATGATGGGACTTGTAGTTTTGCAGCAGCTGGAGGGCCACCAGTTTGACACCCCTGCTTCAGAACTACAAGTCCCATGAGAAATTGCACGGCTGCCAGTTACAAGCATGACTCCCAAAGGCAGAGGCATGATGGGACCAGGGGTGGATTGACAACTCATGGGGCCCCCGGGTAATAGGGGATCATGGGGCCCCTGTGTCCTTGCCCAAACTCAAAAAAGCCTATGAAAAAGGTACCAGGGGAATCTCATGGGGCCCCCTACTGACCCCGGGCCCTCGGGCAGTGCCCGATTTTCCAAATGGTCAGTCTGCCCCTGGATGGGACTTGTAGTTTCGCAACAGCTGGAAGGCCGCCAGTTTGACACCCCACTGTTGTAACTGGTTCTTCCACTTCTTATCATGTCTATATGCAGGAGGAGGAGTCTCCCTCTTCATGCTGCATTCCCTGCAGTGCACAAGGCTTGATCACATGACCAGTGAGGGAGCTGAGAACACAGATGCAAAGATTTTGTTGCCGGAAACCCCAAAGAGACCCAAGACATCAGTGAATGATGGAAGATAAAAACAGGCCAAACATAAACCATAATCGATTGTATAAAAAAAGGTTTTACTAAAAAGATACAAAATATAAAACATTCATATGACACAGTATCATTTACAACATGAACAGATACATAGTATCCATATTTATCCACAATAATACTCGTTTTGCTTAGACAAGGTATTTGGAAACGACATAAAATATTTAAAGATCAGCCTGATGATGTTTTACGTCCAAGGGTGACCGTGGCACACCTACCTGAGCTCCAGAAGGACTTACCCCCTTCCTGGCCAGGGCCATTTCTTGCTATACAGCGCTGCGCTAATTTTAACTGAGAATTGCGCGGTCATGCAGTGCTGTACCCAAACGAATTTTTTTTTCACACGAATCGAGCTTTCTTTTGGTTTTTATTTTTTATTAAATAAATGAAAAAAGACTTAAGATTTTGAAAAAAAAAATTTGATTTTCTATTATAAAACATTCCCAATAAAAAACAAAACAAATATGTTCATAAATTTAGGCCAATATGTATGTCTTTGTCTACATGTCTTTGGTAAAAACAAAATCCATGTAAGTGTATATTATTTAGTCTGCAGGAAAGTTATAACATCCACAAACTGTAGTATATATATTTGAAAATTGATCGATCCTGTTGTGCTGATGGCCGATCTCATTTTTGGAAATGCCAGGATAGTACAAATACCCCCAAATGACCCCTTTTTGGAAGGTCGAACGCCTGAGGTATTTAGTTAAAGGCATGGTGATTTTTTTTTGAAGTTGTAATTTTTTTGTCACAATTTTTTGGGGAAAAATGAAGAAAATAATATATTTATATGTTTTTGTACATACAGTCACCAGCGCAATACAGCGTCGCTGACATGACTGGTGTGGCACTGATCAGGGACACTGACTGGTGAAAAAAAAAACTAAGAAAAAATGTATAAATATTTTTTTATTTAATTTTTTTTTAATTTTTACTTTATATTTTATTTTTATACAATGTTTTATTTTATACAATGTTTTTCTTTAATACTTCCATCAGAGTAGTTCAGTGTTACCATAGCAACACTGTACTACTCTGGGGAGGTGATCGGAGATTTTAGTTTTTTTTTCTTTTTACACTTTGATTGTTAGAACAATAAAGATCAATGTACCAGCAATGCTTTGAACCATCCTGAATGGGTTAAGTTCATGACGGCTGTGCATACTAGTGATCTGTGATTGGCTACAGCTAATCACATGGTACAGGGTGCTGTGATTGGCCTAAGTACCAGTAGGCCTGTTTTCCTTAGGTAAACAAGAGCTGCGATGGGAAAAAGGAACATCAGGCAGCTAGAATTCCTGACCTAGGCATTGGTTTGTGCATTACACTTTGGAGTTCAGAGATTCTTGGAGGGGGGCTCGAGAAGCCCCTCTCAGTGTCTGCTTTTGACTGCTTAGCTCAGTTGAGCATTGGTGGGTGCATTGCATTGTGGGATGCCAGGAAAGCTTGGCCAATCACTTGTTCGCTCCCTGCCCTGATCTTTGGACTTTCCAAGAATTTCACTACCATTTGCTGCCTACAGCCTGACCAGCCTGGAGACTACACGTCCCCTTCCTAGTCTCAGCCACTCAGTCCCAGTGCCATCTACCCAGGAACTATACCATCGTGTTCTGGGACCTGGGGGCAACCAAGTGCCAGTAGGCCTGTTTTCCATAGATAAACAAGAGCTGCTATGGGAAAAGGAACATCAGGCAGCTAGAATTCCTGACCTAGGCGTTGGTTTGTGCATTACACTTTGGAGTTCAGAGGGTCTTGGGAGGGGGGGGGGGGCTCGAGAAGCCCCTCTCAGTGTTTGCTTTTGACTGCTTAGCTCAGTTGAGTATTATTGCTGGGCGCATTGCATTGTGGGATGCCAGGAAAGCTTGGCCAATCACTTGTTCTCTCCCTGCCCTGGGGGCAACCAAATACCAGTAGGCCTGTTTTCCATAGATAAACAAGAGCTGCTATGGGAAAAGGAACATCAGGCAGGTAGAATCTCTAACCTAGGCATTGGTTTGTGCATTACACTTTGGAGGTGGAGGCTGCCAAATCCTGTTAAAACACCATTAGTTCAGGGGGTTCTTTGGGAGGGGGGGGGCTCGAGAAGCCCCTCTCGGTGTCTGCTTTTGACTGCTTAGCTCAGTTGAGTATAGGTACATGCATGGCATTGAGATACCAGGGAAGCTTGGCCAATCACTTGTTCACTCCCTGCCTTGATCTGTGGACATTCCAAGGATTCCACCACCAGCTGCTGCCTACTGCCGGACCAGCCTGGGCACTACATATCCCCTTCCTTGTTGCAGCCAATCAGTCCCAGTACCACCTAGCCAGGAACTATAGCATCGTGTTCTGGGACCTGGGGGCAACAAAGTATGAGTAGGCTTGTTTGCTTTAAGGGAACAGAAGCTGCTATAGCCAGAAGGAACACCAGCCAGCTATAGTCCCTGACTTAGGCCATGCTTTGTGCTGCTAGTTCCTGTATAAACACCTTGAATTCAAGGGCTCTTGGGGGGGCTCAAGAAGCCCCTCTCGGTGTCTGCTTTTGACTGCTTAGCTCAGTTGAGTATTGGTACATGCATGGCATTGAGATACCAGGGAAGCTTGGCCAATCACTTGTTCCCTCCCTGCCTTGATCTGTGGACTTTCCAAGGATTCCACCACCAGCTGCTGCCTACTGCCGGACCAGCCTGGGCACTACATATCCCCTTCCTTGTTGCAGCCAATCAGTCCCAGTACCATCTAGCCAGAAACTATAGCATCGTGTTCTGGGACCTGGGGGCAACTAAGTATGAGTAGGCCTGTTTTCTTTAAGGGAACAGAAGCTGCTATAGCCAGAAGGAACACCAGCCAGCTATAGTCCCTGACCTAGGCCATGCTTTGTGCTGCCAGTTCCTGTATAAACACCTTGAATTCAGGGGCTCGGGGGGCTCAAGAAGCACCTCTCAGTGTCTGCTTTTGACTGCTTAGCTCAGTTGAGTATTGGTTCGTGAAATTGCATTGTGAGATGACAGGGAAGCTTGGCCAGTCACTTATTCGCTCCCTGCCCTGATCGTTTGGACTTTCCAAGGATTCCACTACCAGCTGCTGCCTACTTCCTGACCAGCCTGGAGACTACACATCCCCTTCCTTGTCTCAGCCACTCAGTCCCAGTGCCATCTAGCCAGGAACTATAGCATTGTGCTGTGGGACCTGGGGGCAACCAAATACCTGTAGGCCTGTTTTCCCTTAGGTAAAACAAGAGTTGTTATGGGAAAAAGGAACATCGGGCAGCTAGAATCCCTAACCTAGGCATTGGTTTGTGCATTACACTTTGGAGGTGGAGGCTGCCAAATCTTGTTAAAACACTGCAGCCAATCAGTCCCAGTACCATCTAGCC